TTGACAGTTTTTTTTATAAAATAATGAGACTTGTTTTAAGAAAGTATATTCATTATGCTTAATAAAATATTTTATTATATAATTTTAGATTTTAAATAGTTTCTTGTTTTGAGAATTAACTTAATTATAAACACAAAACTTTATTAGATTTTATCTTTAAATTAAAATAAAATCAAAATTAACTGAGCATAATAATAATAAAAATAAAAAAGTATTTTGCTTAGGTATTTTATACTGGAAAACAAGAAGAAAAAAAATTTGTTAAAGTTTTTTTTTTTGACATGGTCGAAATGCAATGTGGAGTAGAGAAAGAGACAGCACCTAACACAGAAGCACACACAAAGAGACAGCACACAACCACAAACAGAAAAAAACACAAGAGAGGTACATTAGAACTATATACTGCTGCCCAGGGAATACAAATGCATAAATCTATGCAAAGAACTACACATTAGGGTCAAAGGTTAGAGGTCATGTTGGTTAGTGCCTGTTTGTCACTTCCTAAATGCCCAAAGCTGATCAGGCATGCTTTAAGCTCATCAGTCCTGAGTTTACCCCTCTCCTCCTGAGAGCAAGTACCCACAACAAACAAAAACATGCACAGAATGTGAGCAGAAATGATAAAAATAGAAGTGCTATATTCATCAAATTAGTGCCATTTAACTCTGTCATTTAACTCTGATTTTAGCACAAATTGCATCTATTTCACATCTGATTTTAGACATACTAAATACTGCAAATGATCTCTCATGTCAAGCTAAATTTGTTCCACTAAATGAATGGAAAGATAATTACCACTCTTGCACTGTGATGCCTCTGAAGAAGTGAAGGCAAGACATAACACAGTGCAAATATGAAATGAATGTGTCTCAGCTGAAATAAGAGAGACTTACAGATGTTTGTATAATGCTCAGTCAAAGTGGAAAAGGGTTCAGTTCAGTTAGTATGGTTATGATTAGATTAGATGATTAGTATAGCATCCATTCAACAAGGAAACAGGTGAGTAGTTAAGAGTACACAAAGGCTGAGTACAGCACCCGATCAAAATGGTTGAAAGAGGATCGGAATTCATTCATCTGCTCCTGGCTGATGCCCTTTGCATCACGTGTCAGAATTTGAGTCTCAATTTCGTTAATAGTGCGAGCAATCGTAGTCAAAAGGAGCTCCCAGCCAACACGAATATGCTGCAGAGGAAAGAGAAATGCTATTGTAAAATCATGATTTGTTACATCTCAATGTACACTTGATTAAAGAGTTTGGGGATTTTTTTAATGTTTTTGAAAGAAGTCTATTATGCTCACCAAGATTGCATTTATTTGATCAAAAATACAGTAAAACAGTAGCAGTGTGAAATATTATTACAATTTAATATAAATGCTTTCTATTTTAATACATTTTCAAATGCAATTTATTCTTGTGATTGCAAAGCTGATTTTTAAGCAGTCATTACTCCAGTCTTCAGTGTCACATGATTCTTCAGAAATCATTCAAATATGCTGATTTGGTGCTTATGAAACATTTCTTATTACCGGTGTTAAAAACAGTTGTGTTTTAATACTTTTGTGGAAATCACATTCTTTGAATAAATTGAACAGCATCTTTTATAGCATTATAAAATGTCTTTATTGTCACTTTTGATCAATTTCATGCATCCTTGCTGAAAAATATTGTGTGTGTGTACCTCCATAGTGTAGTTAGTATGTTTGTTGTCAAAGATAAGTAACTCCTGGATGAGTTGGTGATCTCCCTCCAGTCTGTCGATGTTGGGTTTATAGCTGACGATCACATGCTCATACTGCTTCAGCTGCGTCATCTGGTCCTCAAGAGTCCCACCCATAGCCATAGAACAACGACCAATTTCCTGATAGATAGATAGATAGATAGATATATGAACATGTCTTATGTAGGTCTATCACATTGGTACAGGTGATGGCTGAAGCTACTCACCTCCATCCTGGCCTGTATCCAGGGTCCGATGAGGTTGGCTTGGGCAGCAAATTGGCGTCTGAGCCTTTCATTAGCATGCTGTCGCGCTAACTCCTCCTGCAGTGCACTGTCACGCTGGGGAACCAGCTTCTTCACCTGAATACACAAACACACATCATTATCATGCTTATGATTTTGCATTGAAGATCACAGGAATTGTTTAGAATGGCTTAGATATTAACAGATAATTTTGAGTTATAACTAAAGAACACTTCTACATTTTATGTGCCGTAATGGAACAGAACAAAGGTCTGAGGGGTGTGTTTGACCTTGTCCCACTTGATGGCAATCTCTTCTGTAGTTATGGTGCTGTAGGGGTTAGTGAGGTCTCCACGAATGCCATAATTCTGGAAGATCTTCAGGACTTCCTGCTGAATGCCAAGGATCGCCTGCCTTTCTGCATCCGCCTCAGGAAGTGTGGCCTTAAACTGCTCGTGAGCAGCTATCAGAGTCTACACACAATGGATAACTTGTTTTGATATATGTGACTCTGGACCACAAAACCAGTCTTAAGTCGCTGGGGTATATTTGTAGCAATAGCCAAAAATACATTGTATGGGTCAAAATTATAGATTTTTCTTTTATGCCAAAAATCATTAGGATATTAAGTAAAGATCATGTTCCATGAAGATATATTGTAAATTTCCTACTGTAAATATATTAAAACTTAATTTTTGATTAGTAATATGCATTGCTAAGAACTTAATTTGGACAACTTTAAAGGCGATTTTCTCAATATTTAGATTTGTTTGCACCCTCAGATTCCAGATTTTCAAATAGTTGTATCTCGACCAAATATTGTCCTATCCTAACAAATGCATCAATGGAAAGTTTATTTATTCCGCTTTCAGATGATGTATAAATCTTAATTTAGAAAAATTGATACTTAAGACTGGTTTTGTGGTCCAGGGTCACATATACACTATCATTCCAAGTTTGAGGTCAGTAAGATTTTTTTGAAGAAATGAAAGGATGCATTAAACTAATCAAAATGGCAGTAAAAACTTTTACATTGTTACAAAATATTTCCATTTCAAATAAATGCTGTTCTTTGGAACATTGGTTTCCGCAAAAATGTTAAGCAATATTTTTTCTTTATTGATAATAAGAAATGTTTGAGCACCAAATCAAATTATTAGAATGATTCTGAAGGATCGTGTGACACTGAAGACTGGAGTAATGGCTCCTTAAATTCAGCTTTGCATCACAGCAATAAAATACATTTTAAAGTATATTAAAACAGAAAACACAGTAATTAAATTGCAATAATATTTTAAAATATTTCTGTTTGTACTGAATTTCTATATAAAATAAATGCACCCTTGGTGAGCATAAGGGACTTCCTTCAAAAACATAAAAAAATCTTAGAAAAAGTCAGAAAGTATTACACATTTGACAGCTGAGAGCTGTGTAAATACTAGTCTGTTTAACAACATAAGCATGTAAGTCGTGTGTACCTGGACCTCTTCAATGGTGTGCACTATGAACATATCCTGTAAGTCTTCCATGGCTCCCTCCATCCAGTTATTAAAGGGACCAGATCTCTTTGCGTATTCCAGAAACAACTGCTCCACCGTCTCCAAAAGTTTCTCTGTCCTCTGCAGAAATTAAACACTTCAAATTCAAACCTTTTAATACTTTGATTTAACAACAATTTCCTAAACAAAACAGGTTGGGAGACAGACAGCATACCTCCAAAGCCTCTCTGCGTTTCTGAGTGAGTGTACCCAGTTGGTCCCAGAGGTCACAAATACTTTGACACCTTTGATTCACTGATGCAACATCATGATAGTCCAGCTCACTTTAGAAAGATAAAAGACTTTAGGCCAAAATGTTGCATTTGCTATTGAGCCCCATCTAGTGGTTAATAGATGTAGTACTCACTAACTTTGCATTAAAGGGTTAGTACTCACCCTCATGTCGTTCCAAACCCGTAAGACCTTCGTTCATCTTCGGAACACAAATTAAGATATTTTTGATGCATCCCGTGAGCTCTCTGACCCTCCCATAGACAGCAAGTGTCCTTACACGATCAAGGCTCAGAAACGGTAAAATAATCCATGTGGCATCAGGGGTTCAACCGTAATTTTAGGGTGAGTGATTAATGACAGAATTCTCATTTTTGGGTGAACTATCCCTTTAATGCGGGAATTTTCTAGACTTTTGTATCATTTTCTTTTTATGTAGACCAGGGGTCACCAGACTCGGTCCTGGAGGGCCAGTGTCTTGCAGAGTTTAGCTCCAACCCTAATTAAAAACACCAGCACCAGCTAATCAAGGTCTTACTGGGTATACTTGAAACTTCCAGCCAGGTGTGTTGAGGCAACTCTGCAGGACACCGGCCCTCCAGAATCAAGTTTGGTGATGCAGACCATCTGACAACCATCTGACAATTTAGTTTTTCATGTGCATTTTCCACCCTCTCTCTCTACGTATTTGAAGAAAACAGACTGTTTTTGATTCTGTACCTCTAAGACTGCTGTTATGATTGGCTATCTACATTTCCTTCCTTTGCTTTTTGTGTCTAAACTAGCATTAGTATGCTAATCATCATAAGTATGCTCCATAGATTATCAGTAATATCACCCTGTACTTACTGAGACAACAGAAAAGTCAGAAGCTGTCAGTCACTTACTAAACACACTCACATGCACACTCACACACACACACACACACTAACCAAGCCTGCAGGGAGATAATGAATGTTAAAATAGAAAGTCAGCGATTCAAGCGTTAAAGTATGCTGTAAGCATGGTGCGTGTATATGGATGTCTAGTTATGGATAAGTAGTGTGGGAGATATGAAGCTATCAAGACCATGTAAGGTGATGAGAAACTGAACATGACAGATTAGTGACAAGGACAAAGTACTTGTGCACCACCATTCAAATATTTGATGCTGGTAAGATTATTTCAAATATCTCTTACGCTCACCAAGGCTGCATTTATTTGATCAAAATACAATAAAAACAGAAATATTGTGAAATATAATTAATTTGAAATACCTGTTTTCATTGTAATATATTTTAAAATGTAATATATTCTTGCTGAATATTCAGCAGCCATTACTCCAGTCCACTCTCACATGATTTTTTAGAAATCATTCTAATATGCTTATTATTACCAATGTTGAAAGAGTTGTGCTGCTTAATATATTTTTGGAAACTGTGATACTTCTCTGAATTCTTTGATGAACATTTATTTCAATACATTTTTGTAATAATCTAAAAGTCTTTACTGTCACAATTTAATACATCCTTGCTGAATAAATGTCTTAATAAAAAAAAAAGTATATTACTGACCCCAAGGTTTTGAATGGTAATGTACATACCAAAGTTTACATTCAAACAGCTAAATGAAATGAAGATCAGCAAAAAAGGTAGTACAAAGTATTTTTGAAGACATTAAGTCTAAAAGATCATACTTGAGCTCCTGAGCAATAGCAGCAATCTGCTCGACTCTGTCCTGATGGGCAGAAAGGTCACTCTCAAATGCCTCGTGTTTCCTCAGCAAAGCTCGGACCTCCATTAAAGATACTGACTCATAGTCCTTCCCGGTCAGCATCCCCTCCTTACCTATTGCAAAACACATGTAAAGCATATATTAAGCATAATTTAGTGGACTTTCTTATCCAAAGTGGCTTACAGTTCATTTTTATGAAAGTGACACCACTTCATACTCAGGACTCACCTGCAGCCCAGGTCTCATGGTTGGTAGCTTTCTGTCTAAATTTCTCTGCTAGATGGTCCAATCTTTCCAGTCTCCTGATTTCCGTCAGCAGCCATTCCTCATAGCCCTTCTCTGCCTGTTCCAGCCCCTGCCATGCACTTGCTATGTCCTACACAGACAAACGCATACCAAAAAAAACATAAACTATGACACCAATGAGAAGCTGCGAACATGTTCACCTTACTGGTTTATTCGGGTATGTGTTTGTGAGCTATATACCTAAAAAACAATATTTTTGGGAAATAATTTGCTGAAAAATGCCCCAAAGCTAGCTAGTTAGATAAATCAAATAAAAATAAAAATAACTAAAAAATACAAGAAATAGCTAAATAAAAATAAGAATAAAATAAATATATAATACATCTTAATATAAAAACTATATAAATAAACCTAATAAGATAATATAAATTGCATATTAAAATAAAAATGTTCAAAAGAACAAATGTTCAATAAATAAATAAATATAAAAATCAATAAATACAAGAATAAACAAAAATAAAATAAAAATACATATTAAAATAAAAACCTATTAAATGAATACATTTGAAAATAAATAAATCAATAAATAAGCAAAGTGGTTGCGTCTAATTATACATCTAAGTAAAGGTTTGTCATGTATGTGTGGGTCAAACTCTCACCGAAACCATCTTGCCCTCAGAGGGCATAAATGCAGGTCGGTTGCTGATGCGGAGTTTAGTCTGCAGGGTGTTGAAGCTGATCTCCAGTTGACACTTCTCCTGCACTTTGGGAGGTTTGTGCATCCTGCGGTAATCTCGGAAATCCTCCAGCTTCCGCTGCATCTCCGACATGGTCTTCTCCGGCACACGATTCTCCAGCCAGGGAATGGTACGCCTGATCCACTCCAACAGCTAGAGAGTAGATGTAATATTTATGTGTAATATGTGCCTGTGTGCAGTGCTTGGAGTGTATCTGATGTGTGATTATGTCTCCTGACCTCACTAGCCAGTCTTTCATAATCCTCCATCAACTTCTCATTTTCCTGATTCACTCCCAGCACCTTACAGATCCTGTTAGCAGCAGTTTCAGCCTGAGGGAGAGAAACACAGGAAGATTGAAGGTAGAGATGGATAAAAAGATAGTTGGTCTGCTCAATCTAGCACATGCAAAACTCAATACCTGTTCAGCTCCAGCAAAGGCATGGTAGAAGCAAGACACATATGTCATAATAGCTCTCTCATCAGGCTTTGGGGTGTTCAGGATGTCTGCAGGGAGGGGAGATGAGCAAAGGGACAACTACATACATTTAAGGTGGAAATAAGGTGCAAGGGAAGAAAACACAAGTCATGTTCATCTGCTAAAGTGGAAAATGAGGATACACCTACGTGGACTGAAGGGGCTGTACACTCAGGCATAGCTATATTTCTAACACTCCTAGAATGAGCTCAGGGATCAGATGTACCTTCTGAGCCTCTGCAAAGGTGTTATAATAACAGGAGACATACGTCAAGACCGCTGCTAACTAGGACTATGGAGCAAAAGCCACATTTTGTAATATTATAAAGCTAAAAACAGGAAGTTTGTGGCTTGAAATCTTTAGAATTTGCATCTAGTTTTTACAGTATTGTCTTTTTGCTGCTTTATTGTAAGGAACATGGGTCTAGCCTGAGTCTAGAAGTTGGTTCCTTCCAAGGTTTCCTACCAAAATAAATTTGTGGGACTTTTTCTTTGCCACAGTCAACTGTGACATATAGACAATTTTCAGGGTAGATGCCATATTTTAGGCAATAGTGTCTTAAGGTCTTATGTCACAAGCTTTCTGACACCATAACATTTTTGTGAAAGACATATTTTCAATGTTTCACTGGCTGAAAGCTTTGTATTCAGCTGGAATGGTATATGGAATATTGTGGAATTTTCTATGCTTATCGTTTACCCTCTGCATCCAGCATTTTGGGGATGTCCAGATGTTTTTCAGCAATGTCAAATGCCAAATTCAGATTACCCAATGGATCATCCTGCATAAAGACAAAAGGAGAGAAAAGGCATACTGCTTCACCAATTAATAAAGCATAAGAAATAATACATATCATCAAAAAACTAAATAAATATAAATCTAAATTATTTCCATGCAAAAGTGAATGTCAACATTCAGGTACCACTAGAGGAGAGAGAAAAAGTTTAGCTCTGAAATTCTTAGACAAAAAAAAAAAAAGTTCAAATTTATCTGAAAAGAAAGCACTGACAAAACTGAAAGACTGGTTGCCCTTTAAATACAAAAATAACTACACTATTGTTCAAAAGTAATAAGTTTATTTAGTAAGGATGCATTGTGTTGATCAAAAGTAACAGAGAAAACATTTATTAACATTTATTAAACATTTATTAAACAAAAAACTATTTCAAAAAATGCTGTTCTTTTGAAATTTCTATTCATCAAAGAATCCTGAAAAAAAAATTTAAGGTTTCCACAAAAATATTAACTGTTTTCAACATTGACAATAAAAATACAAGGTTTCTTGAGCACCAAATCAGCATATTAGAATGATTTTTGAAGGATCATGTGACACTGAAGACTGGAGTAATGACTGCTGGAAATTCAGCTTTGCCATCACAGGAATAAATTACATTTTAAAGAATATTAAAAGAGAAAAGAGTTCATTTTGAAAATGTAACAATATTCACAATATTACTGTTTGTATTTTTGATCAAAAAAATGCAGCCTTGGTGAGCACAAAAGTCTTCAAAAACATTATGCAAGAATCAATTCTTCCATTCTGCATCCTAAATGTGCATGTTTATGGTTATTATAAATGCTTGTATTTGTGAATGTGTGTGTAAGCAGAGTTTGGGGATCAAGCTTTTGTTCTCTGTGTCAATAAAAGCTGCATTGCAGGACATCAGCAGCTGCAGGGGATCCAGAGGGTCCTGGACCCTCCTGATGCTTGTGTCCAAACTGGGACCACTGGGGTTTATACTAAATGCTGGATTACCCCATTCAAGCTCACCTGGAGCCGTCAGTGACAGCTGAAAGGGATAGGAATTTTGTGAGGGGTCTTTTAGTCACTCACCGTGGAACTGACTGACCCTGACAAGCTAAATAAATCCTTAATCTTCAGCGGTCTGATCCAACCAACTAATTAAAACCATAGTACACATACACTCATTCACACCGACTTGGAACGTGGCTGGAAACATTGTCTCATTCTGCTCATGCATTTATGATTCCCTATTCTAAGCTGGGAGCAATGAAATCAAATCTAACATGTCACTGGAGTAACTAACAACATGCTTCTAGAACTGCTTAAATACCACTTTGAAGGGTCATTAGACACAATAAGTTCTAATATGGATTCTTAGGAAGCATCTTTTAGAAACAGTTCTGGTGCTCCTGGTATGTGGATCACTTCTCAAGGATCATGTGACACTAAAGACTGGAGTAATGGCTGTTATGCCAGCTACGCAAATTTGCCATCAACAAAACTTCTCCAAGTTTCACAGAGAATCTCAATGCTGCTCCTACAACATTCCTGCAGAGTTCAGCTCAAACCATAAAACATGCATGAAACCTGCTAATCAAAACGTAATCACTATATATCAAGTCTTAATCACTACCTAGCATAAAATTCTTGCTAACTCTCACATTTGAGCTAAAAATGTATTGTAACAAGCACAAACATAGCACACACAAATAGGCAATTGAGATACTACTAGCTAAAATGTAAACACAGGCAAAGTATTGTTTCATCTTTTATAAATGTTTTCTAATCAACATTTAATTTGCCTGGAGCGCTGTTCTGGATGCAACCTGCCACTGAGATGAATGGCAATGCTAACAGATAGCTTTCTCCAAGTACAGGATCTAAACTCTGCAAGAAGATAGATGTCCAGCAGGACTGAGCACCCCTAATCTATTAAATTCATTTTATTATGGAAAACAACACATCCAATAGCATAACCACTTGTGCCACCTCCAGATTATGAAAATCAATCAGTTCTGGTTTGTGTCTGTGAATAAGTCCACAGAAGGCCAGTCCATCCTTCCAGCTATTGAAGCCACAAAAAAGAAAAAAAAGTGAATTTCTGATTGTACATGCAATAAACAAGATGTGGATCTACTACAGACTAAAAGTCAAGCTTTTCGTTTTTAGAGAAGGTCCTTAGATTCCTGAGGGTGGGAGTGTGATGAACTGTTGAGTGTGATGAAGATGTTAGACACACATACTGTAAACACACACCATCTCTGCAGTGATATCAACAAAAGGGAACATCAGTATGTTGTGGCAGACATGTTATTTTACTACTGTGATAGGACTGTTAGATCAAATGTCCCAAAGGATCAAAGGTTAATCTGGGGTCACACTTGAGACCTTGTTGAGTTTGGCGTAGTCAATGAGGTCAGGCCTGTGCCTGTGGATGAGAGCGCACAGCGCCAAGCCATCCTTCCAGCTTCACCAGAGAGAGAGGGTCATGTTGGAATTAACATAAAAACTTAAACTATATAACTGAAAATAATAGTATCTGTTTTTTACTCATATTAAAATAAAAAACATTGATATCATTTTTCAACGTTTTTGGACCCGATAAAGAGCCTTACCTGACATGAAAGTTTTGAACATTGACATTCCTGTAAGGGGCAGTCTTCCTCTGACACCACAGCAGAAGCCCTTCTTTAGCCGAAGTCTCTGAAAGATGATTTGATAATCATTACATAATTCACACATGACTGATCTAATTGTTGTTATTTGCTATAAAATGATTTACACATTACTAAGGGTTGTGAAATGTGCTATTAATAATAATAATATAGTTTTGCTATTTGTGCAGACGTTGTGTGGCATTTTATGTTTGGGACTTTACCTTCAACAGTGATATCCTGAATAGCGAAGCGAAGGATGATGGTCCAGATCATTCCAAGAGTCATTTTCACATTTCCATCCACAATTTCTGCAAAAATATGACAGGAAAATCATTGCTCAGTAAAATAAAGGGATAAGCAAGTTAAAATTACATTACTTTTTTTTTAAATATAGGATATATACATTTTTTAAATATGCTATGTGACATGCAAAATGAATAACCTGCATCCCCTAATTTCTTTCTTTATTCAATTTATTTATTTATAAAATCCCAGAAATCCAGGTAACACTACAGTTGTGCAATAAAGCATACCTTCAGCTCCAATGGAGACCAGTTTCACTCCTTTACTGGTGATGAAATCAAGGGCTTTGTTGACATTGGCTATCTTGTGAAAACGCATCTTTCCTCTGTCAGGCTTGGGTAACCTCTCACCTGCCAAAATACAACGTGTCATGAAAAATTTTATTGGCATATAGTTGATATTACATGTTGTTAAGGAAGTTTCTGAATGTTTACTTTGAACATACAAAACTGTCAAATATCATCCTTATATTGTAATCATTAGGAAGACAAGCTGCAATTATTGCCATGTTCATTGTGTTTGCTTGACCAATTATTTTACTTTGACACACTCATCTCTGACTGATAACAGAATACTTTCTGATTGCCGTATTGAAACATGCATGCAAGCTTTTTTGAAACAATATGTATTGTGAAAAGCACTATACAAATGAACTTGAAATTAATTTACCTGAGATGACTTCAAGCAGCAGCATTAGTTTGAGGCCATTCCTGAAGTCTTCCTCTATGTTCTCAATCTGTGTCCCAGCTTTCCTCAGGTGAGAGTTACACCAGGCCGTGAACGTCTGGGAAACAAGTACAATATACATCAACATACAGTTTTCCAACCTCACACAGACACTCTCTCCTACACTCCTAGACTCAACATTCATCAAATGCAGAATCCTTGCACAAAACATAGTTACTAAGCCAAACGTGTGGGATTAGACCAGATTTAAGTCCTAACTGGTTTGTTGTGATACAATGAAAGCATTTGAAACCTCACTGCATGGGTAACTGTAGAAGACTGTGCTAACAAAATGATACTTATTTTGTGCTTACGCCAAGAAAAGGAGGTAGTTGGTAGTTCTTTAACTAGTTCTCAAACACTGTATGAAAAAACATGGGGGAAAACATATGACCATATATAGCAGAGATTCTGCAATTGTCCAAACTCCTGTACTTTATTTAATCAATGATCTTTGAAAGACATTCTAACTATGAACAGGAAGTGTAATCAGATCAGTCAACGAGACAATAGAATGGCATTGGCATTATAAAAAAAATCCAACACACACTTGTACTGAACACATGAGCATCTACACTTGAGTTGAACACTGAGTTCATCCTCCAAAAATAACCAGCACGTAACTACATGTACAATAAGCTACAAAGCTGGAAACTCCAAGCTGCTGTATATCATCCTCTGAATCATCCTTTGATTGCTCTCCAGAACCACTTTTAAAGGATATGGGCACTTAAAATTCAGGAACATCTTCCCACACATCAGCATCTAAATTCCAGAGTGAATACCATTTTGTCCACTAAAGTTAATGCTATTAGATTAATAAGTAATAATGTACTAATGAGCACATAGAGTTACAGCTTCAGTACCTTTACTACTTTATGATTAGAGCCACAGCACAGATAAAGAAGCAGAATAAAACTCTATACTGGACCCTTTGATGCAGGGCTGCAAATTAAGATTCCTCAGGCATCAAATAAGTCAAATAAAATAAAATAAAACAAAACAAAATAAGAGGAACAATATTAAAATGGGTCTTCACATATTTGTGACAGGTGCAGTTTTATAAAGAGATGGAGACTGGCTAATCTCAAGTTACAGAATGACCTGTGCTGCTTGCCAAAAATATGTAAGCTGCTGCTACTGTATATAATTCCACTATCACAGGGATATAGGATATATATGCAAACATTTTCTCATTTGGATTTGGAATTACAAGCAAATCGAATCTAAAGGACAAACATTATCTAAAGGACACGTTATGACCCAGTAATGCTTGGTACCATTTCATGGAACAAAATATGGCTGTACTGCTGCCCACATCTGTATTAGGTTGCACTTTCAAATCCACCGCTACCCTTTGGCCATTTTTTAGACATAATGGAGCATCTTTTTAAACCCTCAAAGCAGGTTCAGTCATTGCTGGGATGGAAAGCTTTACTGTGGACTCCAGAGTGCATTCCTGCGAGGTAAGAGTGTAAATTTAGCTCTCTCTGCAGAGTCTGTTTCTGATGAAGTAGGCTCACACTGAGAAGAGAGATATGAGTGAGAATGCAGTGAATACAACGTGTGTATTGCACTGCTGTGCTGTCTAATCGGACAGGAAAGAATTTCATTCATTCTGTAAAACTGTAGGGTGTGTCTGCAATAACATGCCTGTGAGGGGCGATGGTCTCTGGAAGAATAAAAAAAGAGCTATTAGACCCTTACATCACAGATCAACAAGCAATATAAGTCTGCGTCTAACATTTGAGCCATAGCTATTGATAAATATGGTGTAAGTTACTTTGGTAAGAAAGGATCTCTCCTAAGTATAAATACAGTCAGTGAGGTTCAGTTTAAAGCCTAAATTAATTATATTGTCACCCAACTAGGCCAGGACAAGCAATCATGTTCTATTAACTCAACCAGATTTAACAGAGGATCTATATGCAGACCACAGGTGGAGACTAACTTCCATAACTTTATTTGCTTACAAAATGGAGCTGCATTGTGTGAATAATATAGAGAAAAAAAGATCACTAAGGTTGTCTTATGTTTTTGCTACACTAAAATTGTCTCTGTACGTGGTCTGATATGTAAGTTTAATCACCAAACATGTTGGGAATGTCAAAAAAAAAATGACAGGTCAAATACTCATAAATTAACTACATTTGTTCTGAAAGTGTGTAGCAATGATAATCAATGTACATGTTTTATTGTTCAGAGTGTCAGAGTGAAAGAAGTGCTGTAATTTTGCTACAGCAAGAAAATGAATGAATCCGTTTAAGTGAGAGTGAGCCTGCAATACAGAGAAAGTCCACTTATGTGGATCTAGTCTATAATCAGATTGGATCTGTGGATTCTTCAGATAAAGAATAGAGTTTAAGATCACCTGCTTAAGACACAGTTTCAAGACCTTCAAAGCAAAACCCCACATTAGGAATCCCTTTGTGTTTATTCTGACCATTAAAACCCAAAACAAATCTATACGCCAAATCTAGTGTTTGATATAAAATCAGTTATAGTAGCCTACATGTCAGTAAAGCTCCTGACCACTTCAATTCAGTGTATATCTGAAAACACTATAATAGACTACACAATAAATAAAGGTGCTGTTTATACAAAAGAATTCCCAGCAAAGGACACCGGATTAAACTATAGGGCCTTTTGGCGTTGGAGTTAAAATTAGCCCATGCATCCATTCTAATCCCAAGGACGTCATCCAGTGTTGGAAGCATCTGTTGACAGTCCGCATTCCAATCGTATCAGAAACAGACACACAGAGCCGCGCGCTACTGCGCTATTGTTAGTTCGGTACCCGCTGCATCCAACCTCAGCGCGCGCTCCAGACCCGTCCGTGACACTGACAGACCACAGAGCCCTTAACGGAACGGGATTCCTTTGCAAACAACTGATACCTAAATCTAAGCTAAATCATAGCTTAAATTATTGACAGACAGACAAATAAATAAATAAATAAGATGGAAATACGTCAAGAAAATATGAGAAAATATACAAAGAAAATACACATGAAAATAACTTAACTAATTAACCCTGGAGCACAAAACCAGTCATAAGGGTCTTTTTTTTTTCAGATTTATGCATTATCTGAAAGCAGAATAAATAAGCTTTCCAATTGATGTATGGTTTGTTAGGATAGGACATATTTGGCTGGAATCTGGAATCTGAGGTTGCAAAAAAAAATAAAAAATATTGAGAAAATTGCCTTTAAAGTTGTCCAAATGAAGTTCTTAGCAATGCATATTATTAATCAAAAATTAAGTTTTGATATATTTACAGACATTTACAAAATGTCTTCATGGAACATGATCTTTACTCAATACCCTAATGATTTTTGGCATAAAAGAAAAATCGATAATTTGACCCATGCAGTGATTTTTTTGGCTATTGCTACAAATATAGGGCCTATCTGTGCTACTTATGACTGGTTTTGTGGTTCAGGGTCACAATTATCTGTGAAACATTATATAATTATGATATATACGCGCAAACTAAAACTGTTTTTCTTACCTTCCGTTGCTGTTTTTCCCATGCTGGATCCAGTAGTAAATCCCGGTCCCATTCTTCCTCCTGCATCATGTAGTCGTCCGGTTCATATCCATTATCATATGGAACGGAAAGCTCGATCTGATTCATCATTTTCAAGCGTTATATTCTCTTATTTGATGGGTAACTTGTGATATTCTGCTTCTGAGCTTGAGTTGTTGGTGTAAGTGGACTCTTCAGTGCCTCAGGTGTCTCTCTCTTTCGTTCGTGTTGGTTTCCAGCCTCGCGGCCGCAGAGCGCGAGCAGTGACAGCAGTGAGAGGAGCGACTGTCAATTAGTACTGATGGGTCACATGACCTCTTCTCTTTCCACCCGCGGAGCGTCGCCCACAACGTTTAACACAACAGCAACCTTCTCCATTACGTTAAACAAATATAGTCTTAAAAGCTTCCTAAACTCTCAACATATATATATATATACATGTATATATATATATGACAAATATGATGCAGGGCAACAATTCCTTAAGTGCAAATTCATGTAGTCGTCCGGTTCATATCCATTATCATATGGAACGGAAAGCTCGATCTGATTCATCATTTTCAAGCGTTATATTCTCTTATTTGATGGGTAACTTGTGATATTCTGCTTCTGAGCTTGAGTTGTTGGTGTAAGTGGACTCTTCAGTGCCTCAGGTGTCTCTCTCTTTCGTTCGTGTTGGTTTCCAGCCTCGCGGCCGCAGAGCGCGAGCAGTGACAGCAGTGAGAGGAGCGACTGTCAATTAGTACTGATGGGTCACACACATGCCCTTCTTTCCACCCGCGGAGCGTCGCCCACAACGTTTAACACAACAGCAACCTTCTCCATTACGTTAAACAAATATAGTCTTAAAAGATTCCTAAACTCTCAACATATATATATATATATACATGTATATATATATATGACAAATATGATGCAGGGCAACAACTCCTTAAGTGCAGATATGCCATAAAATTCAAGATTTTGCTGCAAAAATGCTCCTGTATGAGTTTTTGTCTCATATTATCACATAATAAGCGATATCACACCAGCAGCAAGAGCAATCACACTAGTGCTGTTCCGAATATAACTAGTGCAATTGTGACTTTATACAACAGTTCAGTAAATAAGAAGTTAATATTTTGTTATATTTTAAACACAATATTGTCTGTTTTTTGCTCAGTTTTGCTAACAAAAATATTACCTATAAAGCCGAAGCAAGATTTTGTTGTGTGTCTGTGAGCAACACAGAGGTGTTTTTCTGAATGAATCCGAGTTTTGAAAGAATCGTGTGAATCAATGATTCAAAGACCCATTCATAAAGAGAGCCGTTTACTGAATTTACCGCCACCTGCTGGAAGTTTTAGTTTCTTATTTCATAAAAAAAGGGGGGGACAGTTCACCCAAAAAATTATATTATGTCATCTTTTACTCAAACCTGAATGACTTACTTTCTTTTGTGGAATATAAAAGAAGGTATTTTGAAGACTGCTGGTAACAAAGCTGTTTTGGTTACCAATGACTTCCACTGCATGAAGGGGAAAAAAAGAAAACTGAGATGTTTCTCAAATTATCTTCTTCTTTTATGTTCCATAGTTTATGTTAGGCCATTGTAGCCTAAACGTTTATGTGTAATACATTTTATGTTGAATTAAAAAAAAAAATTCTTTCTAAAGCTAATATTTGTAATGTCTACCTAATACTTTTTCATTTAAAGGTGACATATCATGAAAATCTGACTTTTCCAGGTTTTAAGTGCTATAATCAGGTACCCGGTGCATCTACCAACCAAGTAAACGTGAAAAAGATTAACCCAGTAACTTTGTTTTGGTAAACCTTTTTCTGCAAGCATCTGAGAAAACCAGCCCGTCTGATTTCGCTCCCTTGGTGACGTGGCAAAAGGATCTCATTATAATATTACCGCCCCTTAATCTGTAAGTTTACACCAATGGCGTCATTATTTTTTGTTATATATATATATATATATATATATATATATATACAGTATACATCACACAAATCATTTCAAATTAAGCGAACTTCGCTGCATAATTTAGGTGCTTTCATTTTTTTTAATTGTGCTCTGTTAAAAAGTTAGTTTTAGGTATAAATAATCTATGCTGTCATTTCATAGATTAAAGTTTAAAGCCACTTTAAACCATTTTTATTCGGTATAGCTAATACTAGGTCAGGCAGTGGTAATACAGTTGCTTTACCTTTTGATGTTCAAACCCAGTGATACCGGGAGAATTTGTCACGTGGCAGGTGATCAAGACTTTCGCATGGACGGTGCGAAAAGTTCACAACTTTGAAGGCATTTTTTTTTATTATTTAAAATTTTCAGAACGAAATAAAGTTCAAATTGAAGAATTAATAAAAACAGACTGCAACTGACCTTACAGAACTGGGCTAAAAGTACTCAATTTCCCACTTATAAGTGTTGCAGGGAAATACAATTTCATAAAAAACTTAAATGGCCAATTTTCAGATTTGTCTGTAATTGTTTTGACACAACACGCATGAGTCCTTGAACATGCAAAAATTACTTTTGTACTATATTGTAGTTACTAATTATTCCATGGGGCTCTCTCTTTTTGAGTAAAATTCAAATTTCATCTCAAATTGTTATGCTACAATTTAGAACAGGCGTCCATCATTATTCAGTCAGAAATTCTTACTTGCTTGGAAATCAATCTCAGAATAACTTCAAGAGTGGCCAGTCAATAGTATTTTAAATTCTCCAAACCATCTCACACTGTGCTAAATGCCTTTTTATCTGATAATTGACCTTTGGCGCTCACACATATCATTATTTTTTTATAAACTGAGGCAAACAAAAGACAACTGAAACTCGAAGCATAAAATTTATTTCTGTATAAAACTATCACACGTCCATACGCACAAGTACAAAAAAAAGAGAAAGAGAGAACAAATACAACTTAAAGTTATTTGCATTGGCCTCAGGATTGAAGAAAATACTCTTTGGTACTTCTGTATGTGTTTCAGGGATTCGTAAAACATATTTTTGTAACAGATCTTTTGGTCTCAAAAGGTTGGTCTTTCAGTTTGCTATGTTCCCTGTAACAATTACATTAATGTTTATGGAGTGTTCAGTGGTTTAAATGAAAGACTTAAGTAACTTTAAAAAAAAAAAAAATAGAGGTCTGTTGGAGTTTAAGACAAGACAGAAAGTGCAAAAGAAACATGGAGTTAAAAATCAATCCTAAATAAATAACTAAAATAAATCGTTTGATTGGATCTCTGCACATTCACGGTGCTTACAGTCACAGCATGTGCTGCCCAGAAACCTCACAACATTTCAATATTTGGGTAGAAGGGCACAACAATAGAAAAACTGCACAGACTGATGCATAGTCATTCGCTCCTTGTACAGACACACATCCCATACTGACCAAAACTGACACCCTGACACTAAACAGGAAATAAAAGAAGAAAGGAAGTTATCATTCCATCTCGGACATTGCACAGGGCCGTCTGAATTCTTGACCTCGTTCATGTATCCATTTGTTCGATACTGG